GCTCATGGCTCCAAATATGCTCTATTGAACTTCCTGGATACTGTCAATATACTTTATTGATCCGCCATGTTGTATCTCTGTCTTTGTCTCTGTCCTACTAACCACACAGTCAACTGTGCCACTAACCAGTGCTCTGCAGTCAACACAACAATTTCAACAAAGGAAATATAACCTAATGGATATATTTGGCCCACTTCATGCATATATAAATAATAATAAATACAGTTTTTTTTTTTTAATCTGAACTAGTTAGTCCATTACACATTTTTACGTCGCAGCTATGCAAATGCACGAAGACAAGAGAAATCTAAATGTAATATAGCAACACTTCATTCTTTAATTCTTTGCTGTGAGGCAGCAGCACACCACCCACTAACCAGCAAATTTTAACATTTAGAATTTAGTCAGACCTTTTACTTCTCCCTTCTGGTAATTACAGTAATTACCATAGTTACAAGACAATAAGTAATTATTTGAATAGTGTAAATGCAATAGCTAATCAACCTACTCAAAATATTTAACAAATGCCAACCTGGCATCTATGTCTACACACACACCTTTCTCCTCTTTCACCGCTGTTCAACGATTATCCGTGCTTGTCTTTGCCATCAATTCCTCAATTTTTTTTAGACCAATCCTTCCTCTGAATATCATGCTTCGTATTTATCTGGAGGATCAGAAACTTTTCTTGGACTCCTCCTAGATATTTCCACAATAGACTCCACCATACTCCCTAGTTTATGTAGCCAACTGTCTCTGTTGCTCCCCTCTTTTAAAGAAGTACTTCAATGTAACAGACATTTTTTTTTTTTAAATGCAAAAGTCCCTGACTCCAACTTTAAGAAAAAAAAAGTTCTGGTTAACTCTGTGTGATTAAGTGACGGCATTATTGCCAAAGCTACAGTGAATTCTGCTCTTGCTGTTGCTGCCACAATGTTGAACTACTTCCATTCATCAGAGTCTGTCTTTGTCCGCTCCAGACAACAAAAAATCTCCAACTTCTCAGTATTTAGGACGGGGATGTAAGTAGGCAGCATAGAAACAGGAAGGCTAGCAGTGACACATTGAAATTTACAAATGGCTGCCTGTCTCATTTGCAAGCAAATCAGTTTAGATTAACCAGAGTTTCACATAGATGCCGCGCTGCACTGGCCCTCTCTCTTATAATCAGTCTTTCTATACATCTTTGTCTCTGTCTCTTTATTTGCCCATCACCCTCTTTCTCTGCCGTTTCAACCGTTCTCTCTTCTTTTGCTTTTTGTCATTTTGCCTTTCTGCACTTCTGTCTCAATTATCACATTTACGCCCGACATTAAATTGGTTTCAGACGGCAATCCCGTACTGCAGGTGCAAATGCACCAAAGTCACACCGAGAATGAGATAGTGATCCAGTTGGCCAGTCACCTCTTGAGGTGGTGAGGCACACATTGTGACCACAGTGAACACAACTGTAAATGCAGTTGTAGTCAACTCATTCACAACAACTACGTGGGCGGAATTACAATAGCAAGGGACAAAACCAGCAAGGTAGTAGCAGCTCTGTAACTAGCAGCCGTTAGCCAGTGAAGAAGAAAAACAGTCATCACGTTGTTCAAGACACATGAGCATGGAGTGAAGACAAGATGAAAAGAAAGCAAACGTTATATTGCAGAATCACAGATTCCTCATTGTCATCTTCTATTCCTCGTACGAATCTCAATGTGGACACTGGAGACACATATCTACATCTGGTGTAAATGTGATCAGGTTAAAAAACACATTATGAAGGCAGGTGTAAATAAAAGGTGTCTGTCTCTGACTGAGCCGCTGTCTTTTTTCTGTGCTTTTCATTCTGCTGACCAGGCAGATATATTCAAATAATAGTCGAGGACAAAGCATTGGATCATAAGGGAGCAAGAGTTAAGAACGATGACAGTTCAATTCCCATTAAAGCAGACCGCTTGCTGAGACAACAGATCCTAAGACCACAGTAAAGCAAGGCCAGCACGCAGGAGAGGAGTTAACACATTCACACATGTGACAGAAAAAGACTGAAGCTTTTTTGTCATATTCATTCTCAGTTAGATATTTCACTCAAGGACAAAGAAATGATTGGACAAAAAAACCTCAGAACCATTTTGTCCACAGGGAACTGACACATTTTAAACCCCACCACAACAGGCAGAGTATATCAAATGGCCAAGATTGACACCTTTGCGTTTCTAACACCCACTGCCCAGTTAGTGTAGGCTGAAATGTCCTGTGGGATCACAGCACTAAACTCAATGGCCAGTGAGCTGGCAAGCACTGAGCCTGCTGTGAACCTCAGTGGAAATACTGAACCCGTCACATCACAAAGTTAATGTGGAAAATCAAGTGACTGGAACCAATAACCTGAATACTGTCAAGCTGGTGTGGAACATGCTCTAATGGAGCCCTCGGGATCAAAACAGATCAAACACTGTTTGTGATTCACATGATCAGTATCCTGCAATTTGTTAGTGAAAAATGCCAATGTCATACATGGGAGATCAAATGTACGGGGAGAGAGGAGCTGTTTGCCAATTCAAATGAAATCACTTTTTTTTCTAAACTGCCCACACCGTGTTCTGACTTCATGACATGGATTATTTTGTACTGAAATTTTAATTCTGCAAGAGGCTTGAATTGTACAGAACTGTGGCATCACTGAACATTTTGTTACAAAAATATCGAAGGACTCTAGCTGATTAATTGCGGCACTGATTCTGACCTTCTGACATAGTGATCTGTTCAGACCACAGAAGGAAGGTCTTGTGATTTTATCCAATGAGAACAAACAGTTTGCCAATAGCTCCCGGCTATCTCCATGTGCAAATAAGCACAGTGTTTCCCTGGCCCGATCGATGTGTCTCGATTAGGTTGCTCTGGCCAAAAGGAGTGCAGTGACTTTCCTATTCGTCAACTCCCAGAACCTATTCTAATTTAATACACGCACACATGAATATGTGCAAACACACTTGCAGACACACGCACTTAAATGCAAAAATACATACTGATGTCACAGACATCACAGACACGCAGACGTCATTCGTCCCATGGTATTTAGCACAAAAGTCAAATAGTGTAGAGGCCTGCAAAAAAATCAATGGGCATTTGCAAGAATCAATGGCCGGGTTCCCATGAGAAGTAATTAGAAAGGCAAACATGCAGCGCTGCCTCTTCCCTTCTCTCTGCCTGAGTCCCGAACTAAGAGCTACCTCACCGCAGGGTGAAAACAAAGTCTAATACAGCAGAGACGTGTCAGTAAGAAATAAATACATACACAAGTTTATGTCTAATAAATAGTTGTTGACAGAACATAAAAATGAATAGAGGGATGGATGCGTATAAAAGAGGAACTATGCTATGGCTCAAAATCGTTATTCTTGACTAGTAATTTATGAGACATGATTACTTCATTACTCGGTCTGTCTCCCAGTATGTCATTCAATACTCATT